TAATATTTGTTTAATGTTATACCGGTCTTATCGTATTTCCCAGTTTTCTCATGTTTTTCCTGGTGAAAAATGTGAAAAACATTTGCTGGGAAAGCTTTCGGGAAAATCGAAAAATTACCTCCTTAAAGTACCTGTCCTGTTAAATTTCATTTCAGAAAAAGTGCTATCATTATAAATTGGAGCAAAATCGCTGGTAGAAAATTTGTTCACAGGAAAAAAGAAGGGCGTAATATTTTTAACCAATATTTACATTTTATTTCGTAAATTTTCTCGTTATTCCTCTGCTATTTCGGTTTTTCTCATTTGATGAAAAATTTCTTGAGAAAATCGATTACCTCTCTAAAGTACCTCCCAACACTTTTCTTTTTAAAAACATTGCTACACTTAAAAATTAGAGCGCGATTTCAGATAGAAAAGTTGCACACAAATAAAAAAAAATTAAACTAAAATAATATAATTAATTAATTAAAAATAAAACCTAGGATTTACCGATAAATCATAGGTTTTACCGGTATTATTACTTTTATCGTAACAGTACAGTCTGAATACCCCTTGTACCCCTTGAATATCTCCTTAGATAATAAAGATAATCAAATTCTGTTTTTTTTTTTTTATACTACTCACAGGGATGAGGGCTGCAAATATTTATATTTGCATCAAATTTATTTTTTAGTAAACAATTTAAAAATAAATGTATTTTATTATTTAATGAAAATTTTAATGTATCACACATTTTTATCCGATGAATAGTTTCAAAGTAACAACCGTTTAAATTTCTACTAATCCGTGTGAAAACCTATGTTATCGCGGAACACCATTAGCTTATTCCCTAACTAACATCGGTTTTCAAGGGGTATATCTTCTTGGGGCAACCTATATACATGTAGATAAGTATTAGACCATTATATTTTTAGTATTATATCTGCCGTTCACATTGCACGGGCACGTTCACATTGCTAGTAACATATACCAGGTATATCTCCAGTACCAGCTCTATTTTGACCGAAAAAACCAAAATACCGAGATAATGATGTGCTTACGGTAGTTCTAAACTCCGTGTTGAGAGGACATTTTCCATTAACCGATTTTTCTGCGAGTGGCCCCATATTATTATCCTGGCCACCGGCGGATACCGTAGGTCCATTTTTTCGGGTACGAAACGTGACTCATAATAGTCATTCCTATCAACTTCCCTGGTGAGCTTTGTTCTGGTCATCGAATCCAGGATTTTCTATAAATCAAGTAACCACGGCAAATACGGTTTTTGGTTAAAAGATCGTTCCTATATTTTAAATACCAAAAATAATAGATGGCTCACCAACTGATAGGTCAATTCTGTTTCCAGCAGGCTCAATATTTTTTCGTTGTGTTCTTTCACGGAATCTGCTATGATCGGTTTTTCCAACAAGTCCACACCGAACACCAATAAGAACTGAAAATAGTCACAGTACGTGCATATTATAAACCAACCATTAACGGGTATATCCCGGATGGGACCCGTTTAGTCCAAATTTGACCTTTCCTATTTCGTCAAAAAACATTTTAAAATCAAGTTGGTAATTGTTTTTGAATAATAATAATAATTAAAATAAATAGAAAATTATTTAAAAATGTATATGAGAAATTAGTTTTTTATTATTTTATACAAATTTGTAGTGTTGAAATTCTCTCCCCCCTCCTCTAAAAATAAGACAAAAAAATGAGAGAACGACAAGGATATAATTCAAAACTTATACATTTATATACATATTTAGATCTGAAAAATAACTTGGTATGAGTGTAAAAAGCATGTATAGACATTTAAAAAAATTATAATTTCTATTTTGTAATGATTTTTTAAGTAATTTTTAATATTATAATTTCATTATTATTAAAAAACCATTGCCAACTTAATTTTAAAATTATTAAAATGTATTTGGACGAAACGAGTATTTGGGCGAAATGGTAAAGATCTAATATGGGTGAAACGGGTCGCGCCCTTGCACCTCAGGTTAATGTACGCAAATCGACTGTCAACGTAATATTTTGTACACATAAAAACATCTACATAAATATAGAAAGATATAGGAGCTATACCTTATGGAGTGTCATTAAATCGTTACTGTTTTCGTAACATGATTTGGCCAGGGTGGCTAAACGATGGTCAATATCATTTGATAAGTTTACATAGTAATTATGATTCTCCCGAAATAATTTATTTGGCTCTTCGTTAAACAGGTCCAATGGATCATACGCAATGGAACTCATTAACTCTAGGTACTTTGAATACCTAAGAAACACGCGTTCGAGCATTGGCGTATACATACGGCTCATGAGTCCACTCACTTCGATTTTTTCTAATTTTTGATAATCGATGAAGTTAAGCAGCATAGANCACAAAGTACGGTGTATATAATAGGAATAAAACTTTTGAATCGTCGACAAAATTTATTTTGTTTATAAAAAAACTGCAGTACAAATAATACCTAAACTATAAATACCTACTTGAAAAATGATTATAGTTTTCATATAGTTGACTAGAAGATAGGAGTAATACTATTAAATTATAATATTTTATAAATATTTTATTTTTGCTATAGATTTAAAAAATAGAATGTTTAACCATCTAACTATATACTAAAATGTGAAAGAATAACCATGTTTTACTATTTCTGATTGAATTATATAATATTATGCATCTTAACTTTTAAAATCAGTACGCACAAGTATAGAATTCCCAAGGGGTACTTGGTATAATTTCTCACTCACCTTGAGGCAATTTAACCTCTCCTCAAATGCGTCGAGCCTTTCAAACAAATCACAAGTACGAAAGTTCCAATAACGTGGTTTCAAATTGCGTAATACAGGATTTTTCAATTTGAATTTTTCAAATTTTTCAGAGAGATATCCCATTTGAACAATTTTGAATTGATTTCTGCGAAAAATCATTTTAAGATTATATATTACCGCAGCATACATAATTTACCTACATATTACATTAATATTATTAACATAGTAACTATTAATTTGGTTTACTTGAAATAACTTATGATGTCTAGAACGTCATTAATCTTGTGTATGTTCTCCGCTGGTTCACCTTGAAACGTAGAATTCCCTTCTGCGTGTCTGGATGACTGAAAACATCAGACATATTTTTAAAAAAAATTACAGTAAAATAAATTATTATTAATATTTACCTCAGCGATGATCGTGTTACATATGCATTTTACAAAAATGACAATATTGTTGTAATTTTGAAAACATAAACAGTTTATCCATATAAGTACCAATGTCCTCCATAACGCAGACAATTCTAATTTTGACTCGACCAAACCGTTACTTTCAATTTTATTGATAGGTTTAGTGAGTGTTCCCAAGAACATGTTAATGAGTTTCGTGTTCTTTTTTTCTATTTGAAAACAAATACAACGATGAATTGTTATAATATAGTTGAATTTTAGACAAAAACGGAAGTTTTTATGTTTTTTAATAATAATAAATAATAAAACTAATTTAATAATAATTATATTATATTATATTATTATTTAGGTACCAATCATCCCAATGGTCATTAATTGTCTATAAACGCTCAAAGATGAGCTTTTTGTCACTAACAAGTAATCGCCGATTTCTGGGATTATTTGTTGAAAAAAATCGACTAGTTTTTTTTCTCGATTGATCCAAAAATCGAAGTCTGTGTAGAAATTTGAAATATACTGAGATTAAAATGTTATCAAAATATATGTTATTATATATTTGTTTAACACTTGCAATTTGCATGCGTTGCATTGGGATCTAGTTCAAGAATCGAATCTGGCATAATTTGTACCAATGTACTAATTTGTTTAAACCACACGTATACTTGTTCTTCTAGTCTCAGTTTTAATACTTCGTCTATCATTTTTCCATCACTAGAAAAAAATAAAGTAAGATAAAAGGTAATTATGGTTACCTATATACTGGAATCAACTAAAAATCATTACAAACTAATAAGGATTCAGGGGTAATCTGGTTGACTGGTTACCGTAATAGCAATTAAAGTCGATTTCATGGTTAGGTGTATTTGTTTTTATTTTCAAATATTTTAGAAAAACCGTTAGGAATAAAGAAAATAAATTACCACCCCTCCCCCGAGTGGAAAATATTTAACTACTAAAACTACATTTATCTATTAGAATAATTGTTGTATTTAATTATATAATACAATAAACATGTTAATAGTTACGAAATAATACGAAAAGCATAATTACCTGGTTTCAATGTTTTTTAAAGCAATATCAATATTTTCAAAACCAAAAGGCATTACTAAGGTTATGCGGTTTTTGTTCTGTGCAGATAATACATTTTTTAAGTTGGTTAAAAAATCATTAAGCCTGTCCTGAAAGGCTACTTCAATGTCGTGTGAATAGTTTTTAAAAATATCTCTATTTGCAGACAAATGTGCTAAAGTCTAGGTATTCAAAATGAAATATTTATTAAAATAATTAGCTTTAAAATAAGTATACACTTATTACTTACATTTTCGGTTACTGTTTTTATGTCTTGAAAAGGATTTATAGATGCTTCCAATTTTACAAGCATAAACTTATAATTACTGTCCGTAATTTTAACACTCTCAAGTTTTAAAAAACATGATAATTTAGTGTTCAATTCTTTTGGTATGTCAGACAATGGTATCAAAATCCCGGTACCCATTGAAAATAAAAGTTTGTCTTTACCCGCATCATTAAGAAAATTCATTATTAACTCCTAGAATCGTATAAAACACACTTTAATTATAAGGTAGATAGATGTGTTTGAACAATGAAAGTTAATATAGAATAGTTACACATTTTGTTTGAATTTAATGTTTTACCTGCCATTACTCCTCCTTCGCCTTCGTCCTATCTATTTGTATGTATATATATATATAAATTGTATATATATCACATTCACACTCTTTCTAAACTTCCACTTGATTCGATCTCCCACATCGCATACGCAGTTGTCCTCAAATCATTCCCAATTACACCCTACCATTTGCATTCCATTATCTAGTCTATTTGTCTCTCTATCGCCTAACACTCTGAACCATACAATATAGTCAGATTCACCACACTTTGTAGTACTTAAGTTAATCAATAATAAATAAATAAATCGTATAGGTTTCCGGTCTACCTACCAGGAACTCTGGACTCTTCATCATACTTGTCCATATTTCGGGTTTAAATTTAAACGTTTTCACAACTTCTTCATAAATGTGAGCCAAACGTTTATCGCTAATTTCCGAAGCATCCATGTTTCAACGATTATTCAATACAAAAAAAAACTATTTCTTAAATATCGAAATCGACACGAAACGTTAGAATACGATAAAATATAAACCTATTTATATATCGCAGTTCCT